TCCCGGGGATGGAGGCAGGCCGGCTCGCTGAAAGCAGAGATTGGTTCGCTCAAGTCCCACCTCCAAACGCAGACTGCGGCGCCGGGACCTCACACGAGCCCTTGGGACACAGCATCTCATTAACTCTCCCAGTGACCTAAGAACACGGCACCCTCGCTTTTCAGGGGAAAAACTCAGCGGAGAGGGTGAGTAACCTGACAAGACTGCAAAGCCAGGGCCCCGAATCCAAGCCCAAGGTCTGCACTTTTACAAAAACAAACCAAACCAAAGAAAAGCTTCGGGGAGAAAGGGGTTGTTCCCAGCTGAGAGCGGAAAAGGCTCGCAGAGGAGGGAGGTGGGTCTGAACTTGGGGCTTCCAGGCAAATCACCCACTCAAAGGCAGGGCAGTGCATGCAACTCCAGCTCCCCAAAACCTCACTGCACAGCCCAGCTCCTGTCGCCCAGAGCCCAAGGCCTTGGAGACACTGGCAGTCAGTGATCCAGGCTGTTAAAAACCCTTTGCAACGATTTAATGACCCACTAGAACTAACCCTTATAGTTTGTCAGCCACTGACTTGTCTCTGTGCCCCCCAAGAGGCAGAGAATTTGGCCTCTCAGGTACAAAGCTGAGCCGGGCCCGCGGACCCTCAGCTGGTGGTGTGGGCATTGGTTGCTCAAAGTCAGCTGGGGTGGCAGATTGCGTTTTCTCAGAATGGTCCAGGCAATATTTTTCATTCCACACGTCTTCTAGAACCTCCTACTCCAATCAAGACTCTTCCCATCTTACTCCTCCTGCTTGAAGCCGGGCCAGCTGTGGGACTGCTCTGGCCAGTAGCATGCGTCTGCAGGATGCTCTGTGGCTTCCAAGGCTGGGTCAGAAAGAGGACCTCCGAAAGCTCCGCTGGAGCCCAGCCACCCGGTGAGGAAGCCCAAGCCACTCGGGAGGCCACGTGTTTCCTCTGAGCCCATCCCCTGTGGGATGGTATGTGGAGCCCGGAGCTGAACTCTCTCCATGTAGTCCTTGCTGAGTGGCAGATTCATGAGCAAAACAGATATGTCACTATCTTAAGCCACTGTGTTTGGGTGTAACTTGTTATGCAGCCACAGTAACTGTAACAGTAAGTGCATAATAATTCCTGCTTGAGAGATGAATAAATGTATACAGAGAGAGTCTTTTCAAGGGCCTCCAGAGGCCAGTATATATTTTTAACTTTTTCCCTTTTTTTGGTTAGTCTTCACTGGAGGATATTTTTCCATCGATTTCAGAGAGTGGAAGGGAGGGAGGAGGAGAAGAGAGGAGAGAGAGAGAGAGAGAGAGACATCAATGTGAGAGACCCACATCAATTGGTTGCCTCCCAGGCACGTACCCATGACCAGAATCAAACCAATGACCCTTTGGTTCTCGGGCTACGCTCTAACCACTGAGCAACCGGCCAGGGCTTTTAACTTTTTATTAAGAACATTTTCAAACCAAAGTAGAGAGAATAACACAATTACCCAGCATGTACCCATCACACAATTCAGTGATTACCAGCTCTTGACTGACCTTGTTTTTTTAACTCTTTAAAAAAATCTTTATTGTTGAGAGTATTACAGATGCCCCCCCCTTTCCCCTTATTGCCCCCTCCACCTGGTTCCCACTCCACCCCAGGCCTTCACCACTCTATTGTCTGTGTCCATAGGTAATGTATATATGCATATAAGATCTTTGGTTAATCTCTTCCCAATCCCCTCCCCCCTGTTCTCTCTGGGACTCCGTGAACTATTCATCTGTGCAATCCATGCTGATGTGACAAATGAACACCCTGTCTGGTTATCCTGAGCTAACCTTCCTATTCTTGCCCTTTTTACTGAAAGGAATTATTGTTAATGTATTTATTTAATCCAGGAACTCTGAGCCAGACTTCTAAAGGAAAATACAGTCAGCATGAGGCACCTAGCATATGGATCTGTAAAGTAAATGCTAATTAATAATAATTACTGCGCTGTGTTACCCAGCTGCATTGTTTTGCCTGACAATTCCCTCAAGGAGGCCTGGCCTTGGAGGCAGAGGATCCTATCAGGCCAGTGGTGTCTGGCACAGGGGCCTTGGCTGCCCAGGCACAGTGGCAGGACCAGACCTCACAAAGGCCTCAGGGCCTGCTATAAATAAATCACAGCTCAGTGCAAGCTAGGTCAATGCAGCCCTTTCAACCGGCTGCTCCACTCCAAGAACAATCAGGGCTTGGCTGTGCAAACAGGAAGCCCCTCCAGTTCATCACTGTGGTTCTCAGATCCCTGAGACTGGATGGTGTCTGAAGTCCAGGGAGCAAAGAAAGCATCTCTCTCCATGGCAGGGACAGACAGAGCCAAGCCTTTCTTCATGGCTCACCCTGTGTTCCTGATGCAACTCTGCAGGGGAAGATTGTGGACTCTTTATCCCCAAACAGATGAAAAAACCTGCTGCCAAACCATGAGTTAGGAGGATGCTAAATGGAGAGTGTAGGAAATAAAGACCATAAATGGCCTGTAAAGATGGGCACCAGCTTATGACAAACACTCGGCCTTCTGGGTGATACATGCAGGTAACAGTGTAGTGTCAGCATCGGAAATTCCTTCGGAAACTGTAACATGGTTAGGAAAGGAACGGATATCTCACTTTTTCTGCCCATCTGGAGTCTTCTGGCAGAGTTTCTAGTTTTTCCTCACAGGGGGGTGGGGGGGTGGAGAGGGGGGGGCAGGGTGCTACAGAAGAGGCTTCTTCAGGATGAGAAGAAGAAGCCTTTACTTCTGTGAAGGGGACACTTGGTGATTTCTAAACTTTGGAGCTTCCTTACATTTTTTTATTCAGATGGTTTCTGGAAACCTGGCTATTTTGCATCCTCACCAGTCCAGCAGGGAAGGAATCTTCAGAGGTGGACAGGGTGAGGTCAGGCTCACGGGCAGAGTCTCAGCCCAAATTTGGAATCTAATTTGGATAATTCCTCCCTCCCTCCTTCATTAAAGGCATTTTTATCAAGCACCGATATGTGCTTTTCTAGGCATCGTAGGTTAAAGTGGACGAAACAGCGGGCGCGGGCGGCAGTGGACACGTATATCCAGCAACGGAAACGCGTTTCGCTGTGGGGGAGATCACGAGTGTGGATGATGCCCAGCTGCAGACAAAACCTACCCGACTTCCGCAACACTGGACTGGGCCCAGCGCGCGTTGGTAAGGACGCGCTCCCACCGTTGCCAGGGCTTGTGGCTGCGTGCGGAGTCTCGCGAGGATCTTCGATACTTCTCGCGAGACCGCCCAGCGGTTGCTGGGAGACAGCGCAGCTTCTGCGGAGTGTGAGCTTTTGTCTGCGGGTCGCGGCGGTCGCTGCGGGTCCGGACGCCTGGAACCATGGTGAGGACGACGCGGAGCTGGCCCCGGGAGCCGGCCCTGCGCGCAGAGACCCCGAGGGATGCCCTACCTGGACCGGAAGGCTCAGCCCGTCATAGCCTTGGGCTCTCCCAGGGGCCTGGGGCACACGTGTCCCCAAACAGGACAGTGGGGCGCAGGGGATAACCTAGGACCTCCAGTCTCCGGGTTGGAGAACCCAGGGCGCCAGGGCGGTTGCAGGTCCCTGTACAGCAAGGGGTCCTGGGCAGGATGTCCATCTTCATGGACGCCCAGGGCAGGGCCAGCGGTGCAGAACTGCTGGTTCCTCGGAGAGGCTGGGAGCAGTCAGACCTCATCTGTCTCTCTCATGTGACAGGGCCGTCCGCTGCCCCCACCGCCACCCCACCCCATAGAGGAGTTGTCAGTAACGCAGTTCCCAGGCAGATGCACGGGGCAGGTAGCTGGTGGAGAGGAGTCTCGGTGGGGAGCCGCTGCATTTGGCTGTAGCGGACTTCTTGGCGTAGAGGGATTAACTAATACTTTAGGAGGGAAGGTGTCAGTGGATGGGTGTTTGAATATCAACTGGATGAAGGCCACCAAAATACTTCTACTTATTACTAGCTTTAGGGACAGGATATTCTTTTTGTTTCTCTGTGTTTATAAGACTTCCACATAATTTTTTTGTAATCAGAGAGATATAGACACAAAAAGTGTTACAGACACACATAGACACACAAAAGTGTGGGCCACAGACAGTTGAGAGAAGTGAGGCCAGAGGATAAGGACTTGGAAATTCAGTGTCTGCTCAGGAAGGGAGTGGGCTGGAAGGTTCTGTCATCTGTCAAAGCTGGTACAGGAGGCGTGACGGCTGAGCAGGTCCCGTGGTGAACCATATAGGGCCCCCACGGTGGGTGGGTGCTGTCTGCTGTCTTCCCCAGACCAGGTTCTCTGAGGAGTTTCGTATTTGGAACAAAGACAGTCTCATATTATCATCCTGATCATTGCTATCAAGGCATTTCTGCCAACACATATCGAAAGTTTCTTGCGTGTTTCTCTGTGGTGGTTACCAAACATGATAGCCAACGCGGTCACATCTGACGCTGGTATTGGGATTCTCCCTTTTGAGGCCAAGTACAGTTTGCATCCACACCAAGGCAGTCTCTGCCGTGTATTAAGGATTGAATTTGGTCCAGTTTCCTTCCCTTAATCTCTGAGGGGGAAAAAATGTTCTCTTCTGAAAAGGAAGATTTCTCCTTCTTGCTGCTCCAAAGGTGTCAGCAGAGAATGTGCGTGTGGTTAAGGGTGGGAGCTTAGGGTGGAGTGATGTGCTGCAGGGGGGTGGGCACAAGACAGTGAGCAGGAGAGGGAGGCTCCAGTCAGGTACTACTCACCCCCCCCAAATGCCCAGGAGGGGATCCGAGCCAACCTGAGAGGGAAGCCATTACCCAAAGCCTCCCTCCCTTACCCAGCCTCTCTTTTTAACCACAGGCGCCCAAAAAGAAAGGGAAGGGCAAAGGCACCCCGGTTGTGGACGGGCTTGCTCCGGAGGACATGACCAAGGAGCAGGTGAGCAGGCTGCCCTGTGCATTGGTCCAGTCCTGGGTGGAGTGGGTGGGTGGGTGCTGTTCCATCTCATCCCTCTGGCTGTTTGTCTGCATGAACCTCTGTCAGACCAGTGCACCCCTCATCCTGCCCTCTGCTCTGTGCCCGCCTCCCCCATTCTGGCTCCTGCAGTTCTGACAGCATATCCTTCCCCAGCTCCATCATCCCTGTCAGCGCCAAAGCTCTCAGGCACAGTATTGAAGAACTTTTTTATAGGGTGGTAAGAATTTGGAAGCAAATGTTTGTTTCTGGTATAAAAGCCATTTTTCATTTTTTTTTTGTATTCCCTTTCAGTTTTACCCCTTCATGCGTCTGATGCTACGGAGCTGTTTTCATAGTACATGCATTATAGTCTTCTTGTTTATTTACCATGAAACGTTAGGAATTATTGTGTCCACGTGTCCTTGTTGATGAAGGCAGGGGCTAGATAACAAACTGTGTGATTACAATATTAATTAAAAGGCCCCTGGGAACTGCAGCACATGGCAAACCACGAGAGGAAACTGGTGCCCACTCCAGCCTCCGTGTTCTGACGACGGGACTGCCTGTGTGCATCTGCCACGGACCTGCGGGCTCTGTGTCAACTGGTGTTGCTGTCAGAGCCCTGACTGTCTTTGCATAGTTTTAAGATAAAAATAAATACAAAGCAGAGTAATGGAGTCATAGGAGCTGAAGCTGGATGTGGAGCCAGGGCCCTTGATGGTAAGAGGGACTGTGTTTACAGCCGGTCCTTAAATAACGTATCGTTACAACGTTGATGAGAGGCCAGGGGACTTAGCTCTTGTGTCACTGAGCCAGTGGTCACATTGGTCTCCTTACGCGTCATTTGTCTTCACAGCTTCAGAACCCGTTGATGACATTAAGTGAGAACTGTCCCTGGCGGGAAACCAGTTGCAGCAGAGGGTGGTGGGGCCAGTCTGTGTTCTGGAGAGAGCACTGGCTGCACACTGCATCGCCCCAGCAGTTGAGCTGTTTCTTGCCCCCCGTGTACTTCCGGTCCCTGTGGAGACAGCCCTGACCAGCGGTGGTGTGTCTGCAGTGGCATGGACACCTCGGCAGCGTCTGGTGCCAGGGCCCAGGGCCCAGGGTCCAGGTGGCAGTGAGAGCCAGGCAGCTGCAGACAGGCCCCTGAACAGCCACCTTTTGTGCGTCCAACTCCGGGGCTATTTTCTAATTTTTTAATATATACTTTTATTGATTTCAGAGAGGAAGGTGGAGGGAGAGGAGAGAGAGAAATATCAATGATGAGAGAGAATCATCAATTGGCTGCCTCCTGCACATCTACAGTGGGATTGAGCCTGCAACCTGGGGCATGTACCTTGACCTGGAATCAAACTGACCTCCTGGTTCATTGGTCGACGCTCAACCACTGAACCACCTGCTGGGCTATTTTCTGATTTTTTTAAGAGAAGCTGGAAATGTGCATGTTTTAAGAAATGTGTTTATTGAGTCATGGCAAGATCTAACCTGTGAGACAGTCACAGTAGGTGGGAGCCTTGTTAGACTCTGAGTGGCACTAAAGGCCATGACATGGGGATGTTGTCTTCTTTGGAGGCCTGAGTCAGATGCACTGTGTTTTACCTCCTTTCAGCTCCTCAGGATTTTTAGATGAGAGTGGCCCCTCCCTCTTGCTTGCCTTTTTCCTCCCATGTGTCCCTCGGGTGGGTGGGCCCCGCTGGGTCCTTCACAGTCTCTGCTCGGCCTGCAGGTGGAGGGGCACATCGGCCGCATCCGTGAGGAGCTGGACCGAGAGCGGGAGGAGCGCAACTACTTCCAGCTGGAGCGGGACAAGATCCACACCTTCTGGGAGATCACCCGGAGGCAGCTGGAGGAGAAGAAGGCTGAGCTGCGGAACAAGGACCGGGAGATGGAGGAGGCCGAGGAGCGGCACCAGGTGGAGATCAAGGTGAGTGGGGCGCCCGCCTGTCCCGCTGGGGTCACTGCTGCGATGTTGTTAGGGTGAGCGGCATTTCATCTCCTTGTTCTGGGGTTACAGCCCTTTGTTTGTGTCTTTCACCCTGGGAACCTAAAGGTATTTTTTGTAAAAGATGATGTGTGTACCGGCAAACATGGGTGTGCAGGAGTGTGTGTGGGTGAGCATGTGTGTGCCTGCGAGCCGGTGAGCATGCATGTGCAGGTGTGTGTGTGTGTGTGTGTGTGTGTGTGCTGGTGAGCGAGTGGTCGTTCTCCCGCCCACAGGTCTACAAGCAGAAGGTGAAGCACCTGCTGTACGAGCATCAGAACAACCTGACGGAGATGAAGGCTGAGGGCACCGTGGCCATGAAGCTGGCCCAGAAGGAGCACCGCACGCAGGAGGGCACGCTGCGCAAGGACATGCGGGCACTGAAGGTGGAGCTCAAGGAGCAGGAGCTGGCCAACGAGGTGGTGGTGAAGAACCTGCGGCTGGTGGGTACATCCATGGGCAGCTGGTGTTGAACAGCAACCGGGAATTCACATTTTTTGTTTAAAAACTCCCGCATTTTGGCAATTAATTGAAATATTTTTTAAAAGCGTGCATCCAGGCAGATCCACTTTGGTGTCAAGTACAGAATTCTGTCTCCGACTTGAGCACAAACGGACATGAGGAAAACCAGTCAGGGCTCCTCTGCATGTGCTTCTGAGACCTGACACCCCGCTGCGCTCCCAGGCTGCCTGTCAGGTGCATTGGGACACACGCAGTCATTGAGGTGTCCAGCACCCCAGGCCACAGGCACACGGCAGCTTGTCATACAAGCTGGGCTCATGGGCACCTGACTGCCTTTTGAGAGCTTTTGGTCAATTCTGAGCGAGGATGGTGGGGGTGCCCGGAAGGTGCCAGGCCCCGTTCTGATCTCTGGGAGGACTGATAAAATGCCTTTCCATGTGTGGCACGTGGTCTGCAAAGGAGAAACTACACACAACAGAGAAGGCAAAATCATGTGTCAGATCCGCACAGCACATCCCTCGGCTATAAGGAAGGACAGAGTGAGTGGGGCAATGGGAATGAGAGTGGGTTGCATTTTCCTACATGGAGTTCTGGGAATGGCTCACTGAGAAGGTGACATTTGGGTAAAGGCAGTAAGGTCTGATCCAGGCTGTGGGGACCAGGCCAGGAGAAGAGGTAGGGGATGAGCCGCATGAAGGCCAGAGGAGCAAGTAGGTCCTAGCTCGTCGGCCTCGGAAACCACGGGGAGGCCGGGCTCGGGCCCTGGCTGAGCCGGGCCTGTGGGGCATTTGGGCAGAGAGAGGGCATCTGACCTTGGTTTTCAGAGGCTCCTCCTGGCGGCAGGTTGAGAAGACTTTGTCAGCACGTTTGTCTCCTGTGAAGGGAGCCAGGCTCCACTGGATCTGGAAAACACTGGAACTGCAGAGTTTGCAGCCAAGGCCGAGTGTGTGAAAGAGTTGGACCCCCAAGAATGGCCCCAGCCGGTTTGTTTAAATGGTTAGGGTGTCGACCTGCAGACTGAAGGGTCAAGGGTTTGATTCTGGTTCAAGGGCATGTACCTCGGTTGTAGGCTCGATCCCCGGCCATGCTAGAGGCAACCAGTCAGTGTCTCTCTCATATCAATGTTTCTCTCTGTCTCTCCCCGTCCCTTCCACTCTCTCTGAAAATCAATGGGGAAAAAATATCCTTGAGTGAGGATGAAATAAACACATAAATAAAAACGAATGGTCTGATCTCCCCTGGCACAGGCACACAGTAGGCTGGTTTCCAATGAATTCAGTGACGGGAGGCTGCCTGCCTGCCCAAGGCCTGTATAAAGACTGGTTATGTGGTCAGAGTTCCCTTTTGTGTAAAAATACTGCTATGAAAATAATTACCATTTTATATTCAGAATTGTATACAATAGCCACCTGGGGGAGCCTGCAGGTCTGGACAGTGCGGCCATGGCTCCACCCGCAGGCAGGCCAGCAAGGGGCCGCCGGCTGCTGTCAGTCCTTAGAATCTCTGAGAACATTTTCTCAGGCTCAGAGCTGACTTTAGCCAAGTGAGTTTTGAAATGTGGAAGTTACCAAAACCATGTTGTTCTGGATGTGGTGTGTGCGCCGGGAGCACAGGGACCCGCCAGAACATCAGAGGGTTTGCCGAGCGGCTTCTCTGTCTGTCGTCTCGTAACAGCCGGCTTCCACCTTTGCAGAAACACACGGAGGAGATCACCAAGCTGCGCAACGACTTTGAGAGGCAAGTGCGAGGTCAGTGTCTTCTTCCTGCGGCGCCATCACAGCAGAGCCTGACTCCCCTCCAGGGCTTACCTCACAGGCTGGCAAACCAGGTCAACACAGCCCGGACCTGTGAGGAGAGAGAATGTGCTCATTTTTAAGGCTGACGGACCTCTCAGCATCCCAGAACCGAGTTTTCTATGTCAGTTGGGGGAGGCTGTGGTCACCTTCTTCCTGCGGCGCCATCACAGCAGAGCCTGACTCCCCTCCAGGGCTTACCTCACAGGCTGGCAAACCAGGTCAACACAGCCCGGACCTGTGAGGAGAGAGAACGTGCTCATTTTTAAGGCTGACGGACCTCTCAGCATCCCAGAACCGAGAGTTTTCTATGTCAGTTGGGGGAGGCTGTGGTCACCACCCACTTCCCCACTCCTGTCAGCAATGGTGGCTCGGAGCAGGGGGTAGTCATTCAGTCTCGTGGGCAGTGTTCTTAGTCTCTCCCATGGCTCCTGGCCTGAGGCGGTCTGTAGTTTGAGTCACACAGCCCTGTGTTGTGAATGGATGGCTCACGGGTCATGGCTCGTGACCACGGGATGGGCTGACGCATAGCTATCGGGAGCCCCTGCAGGGGTGGAATTGCAGTGCCTGGAGGACAGCACGCGTGGTGTGTGCCTCGCGCGCCCTCTGAGCTTCAGCAGGAAAACCCAGTGAAACCCACCCTGTCCTGTGGCAGGTGAGCATGCGCAGCATTGGCACTGCTGGCTGCTCTCTGCTCAGCTGCTGTGTGTGCTGCTGCCTTTCAGAAATTGAGGCCAAGTATGACAAGAAGATGAAGATGCTTAGGGATGAGCTTGACCTGCGGAGAAAGACGGAGATCCACGAAGTGGAGGAGAGGAAGAACGGCCAGATCAGCACGCTGATGCAGCGGCACGAGGAGGCGTTCACAGACATGAAGAACTACTACAACGACATCACCCTCAACAACCTGGCCCTCATCAACTCCCTCAAGGTGCTGGGGCCACGCCGGGTCCACACGCAGCTCTTCGCCCCCAGACGCACTCTCCCTTATGAAACTCTTTCTGATAATGCCCTTCCCTGTCCTTGATTGAAACTCACAGGGAATGTAATCTCCCTATACCTGTAGCTGAAAACAGGCTGTTGCCCTAATGTCGGGCAGGAGAATGAGTAGGGTAGTGTCTGTTCTGAGAGCAAAGGCTCAGGCAGGACTGTGGTCGGAGCCTAGCTTAGAGTCATGGGCAGGTGTCATTGCCACCCAGGTGCTGGCAGGGATGGGGTTTCCACAAAGCAGAATGCCCTTCATGGCGCACTGAACAAAGCGTGATCTCATGAAAACCTCATTCCTAGAACATTCAGAGTAGGTGTGTGTTTGTACATAAAACAGGTCTCGTTGGCCCGTGTGCCCACAGTGGCAGGACTTGCCTGTGGCAGGTGAGCTCGCAGCCCTGGCACTGCCTGCTGAGCCTCCTGCACACGACTGTGCCCACAGGAGCAGATGGAAGATATGCGGAAGAAGGAGGAGCACCTCGAGAAGGAGATGCTGGAGGTGTCTGCGCAGAACCGGCGCCTGGCGGACCCGCTGCAGAAGGCTCGGGAGGAGATGAGCGAGATGCAGAAGAAACTGGGCGACCACGAAAGGGACAAGCAGATCCTGGTTGTGAGTGTCACCGCCTTCACCTCCCCCTTGGCTCCTTCTGGGCTCAGGAGAGCAGGGACATCCATGAGATGCCTCCTGGGGCCTGTGCAGGGCTTGGCCCTTAGGGCAGGAGGGCGTCTGAATCTCTATTTTCTGTGACTGGAGATGGCGGGGGAGGGGAGGAGGAGGAGGGGGGATGTAGAGCTGGTGCCCCTTACCGCCCTGGTGGGGATGAGCCACTTGTATCTTTGAGCCAGTTCTTCCTGGCGAGTATTCCTGTCCTTGCCATCTCCAGGAGCCTCCTTGTGTGCATGCCTGAATCCTGAGTGCCTTCTGTGCCCCACCCTCTTCTCTCTGCAGTGCACAAAGGCACGTTTGAAAGTTTCAGAGAAAGAGCTCAAGAGCCTGCAGTGGGAGCACGAGGTGCTGGAGCAGCGGTTTATCCAGGTGAGCAGCCAGCAGCCCAGCCAGGACCGGTTCCAGGAGGTCCTGTTGCTGCTCCTCACCCTATGCAGCCTTCGAGGAAGCCCGGGGCAGTTCTGTGGGAGGCCTGGGTCTCACACAGAGCAGATCCCTGGTGGGAGCAGTTTGCCCACCTGCCCCCTCGGCTCACTTCTGAAACACACAGAGGTAGCCTGGCCTCTCCAGCCAGCGTCTTTTTCCTCTACATCCATGAATCTAGTACCAGATTAGTATGTGCACATTGGAAGGACGTCACGGAGCCCTGAGTCTCAGTAAAAACAAGAGGGTTCCCCTGCTGCTCAGCGCTGATCCCCACAAGTGGTAACAGCTTCCGAGTCTCCTCCCAGCTCCTCCTGTGTGTCCAGCGTGGGTGGGACTTCCTGCCTTAGACGCAGCACCTTCCATCTCGCAGGTCTGTCCTGCGGCTTCCAGATTGCACCTGCATAGCAGCTCATTCTGGTGTTGCCCGTGCCCCCCTGCCCCCCCGCAAGTGCCGCCATATGCAGCTGGTGCCCCGAGGGACACCCTTGCTCGTCCTCTAGTGTCAGCTCATCTTGTGCACCTGTGGGACCCTCCCTAGGAAAGTCAGTTCCTGGTGGTGGAAGGTTTGCATTCAGATTTCAGATAGAGTCTGCCCAGAGGGCTGTCCGTAGGGGTGATCTCACCCAAAGTGCCCAAGGGGCCATTTCCTGCTGCATCAGCTCCTACTCTGCTGATGTATAATTGGCGGAGAGTGTCTTATTGAATGTGCTTTTCTTAGATTTCCATGAGCCTGAGAGGTCCTCCTTGCAGTGTCCGGGGTCTGCCCAGGGCAGAGCATTCCCACCTGGGCCCTGTTTGTTAGTGCAGGGTGCTCCGTGGCCAGTGCAGGGTGTACCATGGGCCAGGTTCAGGTCCACTGGCGTCTCCTCCTGCCTCCCATGGTGTGTACAGCTGCACACCTTTACTTCTGTCGCAGAGAGTGGGGGTGCAGGCAGTGTAGACGCCACAGGTTTCCCTGGCTGTGGGTGGGCACGGTGCAGACGGCACAGTGAAAGGTGTGTTCTGGCCCAGGGGCAGAAGTGGGAGGGCTTCTTGCCAGCGAGATGGCCCAGCGAAGGCGTCCCTTCAGGTGCAGCGGGAGCGGGATGAGCTCTACAGCAAGTTCACGGCGGCCATCCTGGAGGTGCAGCAGAAGACAGGCTTCAAGAACCTGCTCCTGGAGCGCAAGCTGCAGGCCCTCAGTGCTGCCATGGAGAAGAAGGAGCTGCAGCTCAATGAGGTGCTGACAGCCTCCAACCTGGATCCTGCCACCCTGACCCTGTTGTCCCACAAGCTGGAGGTAGGTCCCAGATGGGCTCCGGGTGGCAGCTGGACGGTGCCCATGCTCCTGCCCTGGCAGGTGGCCTGCAGGGGCTCTGGCTGGGGGTCACTTCTCTCCTGTTGACACCCCAAGCATGTGCAGCCTGCATCATTCCAGTTAACATCATTAGTCCTGGGGAGGGGCTCCCCACACTCTCTCACTCAGACCTCAGCTCACTGCTACTACTTCTTAGGATGGGTTCATTTTAGCCTATGAGGCTCTAGGTCTCAACTGTTCTGGAACTTGTGGGCCTGAGCTCTTGGGCATCTGGCAGCCGACTCAGACATAGGCCTGGGGGCAGCTGAGTCTCCTGTACTCGCAGGGAAGCCGCTAAGCTGTGTCCCAGCTGAGCAGTTAGGCAGGGCTGAGCCTCTGTGGTGGGTGCTGGGAGGGCTTCCCGGAGGGAGGGAGTTATGTCTGGGCAGAGGCTAGAGCATCTGTTGACCTGAATCCAGTTATTCATGGCACCCCTCTGTGCTGGGATGGCCCCGGCACCGGGGTGCAGCAGTAGTCAAGGCAGGTGAGACCTCTGTGCCCTCAGGCCAGCAGGTCAGCTGAGGCGTCAGGGTCGCTCCTGCCTCGCAGGCGGAGCCCCGCAGCACCTGTAGGTCCTCTCTCACCTGGGGATGGGCCTTGTCCCTCTGCTCCCTGACCTGATTTTGGGAGTGGGGTTGTCACAAACAGAATTGGTGATGTGAGATAAGGGGTCTTGGTGCTGCCATGGGAGTGTGGCTGATGCTCAGCTCCCAGCCAACTGGGCAACCTGCTACTGCCAGGCCGGGGACCTGGGAGACAGATCCAGGTGTGCAGCTGCCTGCATGTCTCCACCCAGAGGCCTGTCCCAGAAGCAGATCCCTCCAGGCTGGACGGGGTCTTTTTTGAGAAAGAGACCTGGGGCATCGGCTTAAGGCCTCCTCACCATCCGGGTGCGGGTGTGTGTTATCCTGAGCAGTAGCATAGGCAGCATTGAAAAAATATTATTTACTTTTTATGTATTTTTATTATATTTATTTTTTGTTAATCCTCACCCGACGATATTTTTCTATTGATTTTTAGAGGTGGAAGGGACATAGGCAGCATTGAAAAAATATTATTTACTTTTTATGTATTTTTATTATATTTATTTTTTGTTAATCCTCACCCGACGATATTTTTCTATTGATTTTTAGAGAGAGTGGAAGGGAGGGGGAGAGACACAGAGAGAGAAACATCCATGTGAGAGAGACACATCGATTGGTTGCCTCCTGCACACACCCCAACCAGGGCCAGGGATCAACCTCACAACCTGGGTATGTGCTCTGACGGAACCGAACCCGAGACCGTTCGGTGTGCAGGCCAGTGCTCCATCCAACATGAACCCCTTTGGCTCACACCACCCCGAGGCCCAGAGGATGAGCCTGTCAGGTCACCACATCAGTATGTAAAGCATTGCAGCCGCTCCCTGCACCCAGCCTGCCCCTGGGCCTGCAGCTGGCACTTGGTACTGCCAGCTTGGTGGGGGAGATCCTGAAGCTGTCAGCTGTGTCCCTGAGTTTGGGGCTGGGGAGGACTATGGAAGGTTCTGGGGAGGACAGACTGGATCCAAGAGCCCACAGGGACCTGCAGGAAAGGCTGAGCAGGATGGATTTGTCACGATTGGGGAGGACTGGGGAAGCCAAGGTGAGGTCGTTCCTGTGTCCTGGCTCAGTGGGCCACAGTGCCTGTGGGACCCATGTACCCTGGGACCAGCTTGGGGCAGGGGGCCTGGGGCAGGGCAGGCACATAGGAGGGGCCTTGTCTGGGTAGGCAGCACTGGGGTCCTGGGTCTGGGGCTCACCTCTGACTGTGTGCCTCTGTCCCTGTGGAGCACCAGTGATGTGATGAGGGGGGTAAAAAATCAGTCTCACCCACGAGGGTCACCGCAGCTGCACCAGTGGCCAGGGTGGGTGTGGGTCAGCTCTTGGCTGTCCTGGTTGGAACCCACCAGGCCTGCGCCTCTCACTTCTCAGCACCCATCTCCTTCCAGAGGCAGGTGCTGCTCCCTTTCTTCCTGGGGGATCTTTCTGCACAGCCTGCTCCCCGTGTGGACACACAGGAATGGGGCCAGGCCACTATTCCCTGGACATCTGGGGTCACCGTTAGAGCCCAAGATGCCAGACCTATGGCTGCCCAGTCTGTCTTGGCCCAAAGACAGGTCTCAAACTCAGGCCTGCATTTCTCTCCTCAGGACGTTCTGGAATCGAAGAACAGCACCATCAAGGACCTACAGTACGAGCTGGCCCGGGTCTGCAAGGTATGATGGGCCCCGCCTGCCTTAGTGCACGCCCACACCCAGGACCCTGCGATTCCTACCTTAGCCTGAGGGTCCAGCTGCCTATGGCTTAGGGCAGCCCCACCTGCCTTGGTGTTCCTCCAGGGCCAGCCTCTGGGAAAGGAGGGGGCTCCCGACTCCCACATCCCCATCCGTCTGACCCTCACTCTCCCACCCTCCTGGCCTCTGGGGCGATGCGGGGAGCAGGCACAGGTCTACCCTTTCTCCTCTGTGAGTCCAATGAGCGCTACACACCATTTCTGTGCCCAAAGTGCGCATTGGCGCTGAGGCCTGTTTGCGCCCCCCCCCCCCGCCCCCCTGCCCACTGTTGTCTGTCCCATGAGTCCCAGCAGCCTGGGCCTTGCACCCAGTGCCCCTGGCTCTGGCATTCCCCACAGGTATCTGGGCTTTGCCTGTGGTCATGCAGACACATAGCTGCCTGGGCACGCACTTACCAAGGGCAGCACCTCACAGGTGACTCAGACGTGCCCATAGTTCTTTTTTCTGCTGCTTCTGTTATGTGCAAGCCCCGGGCTGTGCAGCCTCAAGATGAAGGCGTCTCAGGGGCTGGGCCTTCCCTCGACCCTCCCAGCCTCACCTGCCCATCCGACCCTTCTCTGGATGCCCCGGCACCCTGAAACTTGTACACACAAAATCGGTGGCAACTACTGGCCTGTGCGGCTCTGGGGAGGATTTGCACAAGTTGTATCTGGTTGTCAGGAGGCCTGTGCCCCATGAAGGGCAGAGCCAGGCCCAACCCCCAGTTCTCTCTGGAGCTCCACTCAGTTCACCTCTAACTCTTGACCCCAGTCCCTGCACTGGGGTGTGAGGACGGTGAGGGTACTGTGCCCTCTGCAGTGTTAGTTCTGAGTCAGCCACGCTCCAAGCATTTCTCAGGCATCACCTCTTCAGACCCTACAGCCACCGACGACGACATTCATCCTTTTAAAGACGCCTGGTTTCCAGAGGGGACAGAACCATGTCCATGGACCTGGCAGCACTGTTGCCCATACCTGAGCTCTTCTGGGACGTGGGGGTCACCTGTGCTCCCTATCAGTCTTCTTTGTGGTCCCTCCTTCCCACCCTCCACAGAGCTGGGTGTCCTAAGTGAGGGCTAGCCTTGGCATTGCCCTTGCCCAGGGGGGAGCCCTTGCTGGGCTCCTGGCACCTCCCAACATGCGCTGTCCCCACAGGCCCACAGCGACCTGCTGCGCACCTACGAGGCGAAGCTCCTGGCCTTCGGGATCCCTCTGGACAACGTGGGCTTCAAGCCCCTGGAGACGGCCGTGGTTGGGCAGACCCTGGGCCAGGGCCCGGCGGGACTTGTGAGCACCCCAACATAGCCCCCACCCAGGACTTCTCCCTGCAGGACACCCCCTTTTACACCCACGGACAGCAGGTGTGTTTTTGTGATTTGTTGGGTCAGCAAATGAAGGCTTTCGTGTTTGCTGCGTGTCCTGGTGACGACTGTGGCAGAAGCAGCGCCCGGGCCAAGGCCCGTCTGTTTCCCTCCCAGCTGTCCCCCCGCCCCCTACACACGCCTCAGGCTCTGCCCAGTGACCGCAGCAGCCTGCAGGTGCCACATGACTTTATTGATGCCCAAGTCACAGTGCCACTAGGAATTGGGGGCCAGAACCTCCCCCAGGAAGTGGGACCTGAGGCCCCATGAGGAACATGGAGCCCTGTGCAGGGCTGGGGGCGGCTCAGGCCACAGTGAGGGCGTTGGTGCTCTCGGGCCAGCTGGTGGTCAGCTCCCTCGGTAGGTGGTGTAGGACCATGGGCTCAGCAGCAGGGGGACGTGGAACTTGTGGGTTTCGTTTGTGATGGTGAAAACGACCTGAGAACAGAAGGCACCAGGAGGGAGCCAGGGCCTGACCCAGTGCTCCCAGGGAGAAGCCGGACTGTGGGCCGAGGGCTGCTTCCCAGGGAGCCCCAGACCAGCCAGCGCCTGATGGTGAACTGGAGACCAAGGCTGTTGACAAGGCTGAATCTGCTCTAGGTACAGCTCTTGGCTTGAGGGCCCCTGGGCCTGCCAGGCTTCCCAAGGGGTCCACCCTGAAATCGGGTCAGGTGAAGGGGGACGCAGCAAGATTAGGCCAGTGAATTGGGCAGGGCTTGTTCAACACCTGTGTCCACAGGGGCTGAGTCACCCTTGACCCTGCCCCCCACAGCCTGACCCAGGGCCAGGGCAGGGACACCTTTCTCCTGGGAGTTCAAAGCAGGTGAACCCACTGCCTGCCACTGCCCTGGGAGAGGGGGGCGGGGCTTGCCTCCTGCAGGACCTCGGGGTCATGGTGAATCCCAGGCCTCCACCTCCATGCCAGCCTGCGGCCCTCACCTCCACGTACGGGTAGAAGCTGTCCTGCCCCCTTTTCTTCCAGTAACCCTCGGTGTCGAAGGTCAGCTTGTAGGTGCCCGCCTTCATCTGGCCTGGCAGCAGGAGCCCAGGGCAGCGTCCATCGGTGTCGGTGTAGCTGGGGGAAGAGGGGAGGAGGTGCACCCCTGCCTGGCTGTCTGGGTCTCCACACCTCGCAGCCTCAGACGCCCCTGCAGCCTGACTTGGGAGACTCTGGTGCCTGGGGCTCCGGAACAGCCGTTGCACAGCACAGAGAAGCAGGACAGGGGAAAACCTCCCACAATCTACCCCTGGAGCAATCATCACTTCATTTGACCTATATTTTTCCAGATACTGTCTATTTTTAAGTATGCTTATTTATAAACGGAAAAAATGTAAGATGGGTTCTATGATTCCTATTGTTTTGTAACCTGGGTGAGTCATGTCGTCTGTGTGTGTGGCTTTCTGGGTCAGTTCCTGTTCCTGTCTCCATGTCCCCAGCTGTGCAGGCCGGTGAGCGTGCACTGCGGCCACAGAGAGCATCATTCACCAGCACTTGTGGGCGTTGGGAATGGGTCCTGTGACCCCCCAGGGGACTCCATGTGCTCTTCCAAGACCACAGCTGACCTTCAGATGGGACCTGGACCCGCAGCCTTTGTGAGGGGGAAGGGACAAGCTCCACACCCTCAGGCCCTGAACTTTTGGGGCCCAGCTCCCCACTGCCACCTCCAGAAGAGTCTGCTCCCTGCCCACAGGACCACCCAGTGCAGACATGCCAGCCTGGGCCGGGCCTCCCCCAGCAGAGCTGAGCGTGGGGCAGAAGCCAGGGCCGCGGAGAGCAGCTGCCAGGTGTGGAAGGGCCACTAGGCTGCAGTGAGAATAGAAGAGGAGAAAGTGCTGCCTGGTGACAGGGGAGCCTTCCCGATTCCTCCTCAGGCCTTACCCATCCGAGCCTGACCCCTGACCCCTGACGGGAGAGGCTCCAGGAGTCAGCAGGGGCCGTGGGGCAGGAGGGGGGGGGCGCCTTTAGGGGGCCCTGTGCTGAGGGAGGAGCTCTGGACTCAGTGCTACCCCAAACCTACCTTCTCCTCAGTTCTGTCCACTGCTGGCCGTGGTCCTCGAGCCTCGACAGACAGAGGCAGAGGCCCTGGGCCGGGAGCCCTGAGGCAGTGTCCAGCACATGTGTGGTCAGCGGGCTGCTGACCGGCTCCATGCCTCTGCCCTGGGCCAGGAGAGAGGGACAGGACAAGCCTTGTGTCCACACCAGCCTCAAGGAGGCAGCAGTTAGAGTAACAGCCTGGGGGCGGAGATCCCAAATGTCCCTGGGGTGGGGATCAGGAGGCTGTGGTGGGGACACACTGAAGTGCAGTTCGTCAACCACGCTGACCTGTCCCCCATCCGTCCCCACTGGGGCCCTCCCCTCCACCCACCACTGCCTTGTGCTCCCTGTTCTCCCAGCTCAGTGTCCCCGGCTTCCAGGTCGGAGCCCCGGCCGAAGGGACGAAGGGACGAAGGGACGGGAACTGGCCCTACCTCCCCGGAGCCCAGGTGTCGCTGGAGCGCGCGCAGCCGCGGGGCGGACCCCGAGCTCATGCCCAGTAGACGGGACAGGGCGCGAGCTGAGGTCACCCGCTCCCGCCTCCACCTGAGGGTGCCTCCCTGTCCCGCTGTCACCTCCCTGGACCGGGAGCCGAGTTTCTGACCCAACGGGGCGGGTTGTGGGGGGAGGTCCATCTCGGTGCCACCACTAGAGCCCCAGGGACTTCGCTGGGGAGGGGCCCAGGCGGGCCATTGGGGCGCACAGACCTGCGGGCTGCGGAGGCGACTCCCACCGGAAGTGAAATCCAGGGGACTTGCCGGGATGGGC